TGGCGGCTGTGGCAACCGCCTGCCGGAGCCGCCTGGGGCGAGGGGACCCGCGCCTGGGGGTTCTCGGGCGCCGCCCAGAGGCCCCTCGGGAGCGCGGGCGCAAAAAAAAAAGAGGAGGCTCCGGCCGCGGTGGCCCTGCGGCCTGCGGTTGACACGCGAGCCGGCGTGAGTGCGAGGAGGGGAAGCGCACCCCCCAAGCGGCGTGGAAGGAGTGCTCGGTGTCTAGACTCCCCCGGCGTAAACTCGGTGCCTGCAGCAGTGGAGTTGCTCTGACCTGCACCCCCGACCTGAGTGTCCGGTGCCCTGGTGCCACCTCTCCTCCCAGAGTGGGTCATCGCCTTGCAGTTGGGCCCTCGCTGACCCTACACTTCCTTGTCACAACATGCAAAGGACACTTTAAAATCCTCCCCACATTCATGCATATGTATACGTATATATATAACCAATTTACTCGGATTGACAAAAGCTGATCACGGAAGCATTCAATAAATGACAGATTCATTCAATAATAATTCTTCCCCTCCCAATTAATTATCTTATGTTTGACGATGTTATCCTCACAAATAGCTTACAATTTAAAATGATATTTGAGGGTCAGGCCTAGTTAGTACTTGGATGGAAGACCACCGAGGAAGACCAAGTGCTGTAGGCATAAAAAATAATAAAAAATAAGGGACTGTAAGCTGGCAAGATCCTTACAATCTGTGAGGTCAACCAGAGATGCCTCGCCTAAAATAAATAAATAAACAAACAAATAAATAAATAATAAAATAAAATGATGCTTGAATATATGTATCTTGGACAGAGAACATAAGCCAAAATTCTACTATTTAACAAAGACCTAGTTCTGACAATCAAGGAAATTTATAGACACAAGATTTCTGAAGGACTTTGTAGCTGTGGCAGTCTTCAATTATGTGGCAAGTTTGAAAGTGTTTTTAGTTTATCTTATTAGAAGCAAGAGAAGGAGGAGTACTTTGTCTTCTATATATTAAATAGGAAGACAGCGCATGTATTCTAGAACACCTATTACATTATGGGTACTCAAATATTTAACTACAATCAGCAACATTTTACATCTCAACTTTGATGGCTTGAAAAAATTGCGATTATATACGTGTGTCTGTATCATGTTTATGTATGTATATGTGTGTATAAATATATAAATATGTCTACATACATGCATACAAATACTTATTGTCTTACTTTATGGTTAAGTGGAATACAACACATGACCATGTGTAGAGCATTTATTGTACATAGAGGGGAGTTTACATTTTTTCCATCACTCCCTTAGCTCATTAGAAGCCAATTCAACGATCTGTTGAATCTTAGGAAGAGTAGCTAATTTATATTCATCTTTCCAGATTCAGCTTAACCACCATTGCCACATGAGTTTCATGTAAAAATCTTATCAAAACGTTATAAATATCCCTCAGACGCTTAGCAAATAAGAATATTGTTCAAAGGCTATGGCCTTTTCTATTGGTGGTTTTATTTTTGAAAGATAGCATATAAATAAAAGTGACATCATTTAAAACTGTTCCTTAGAAGTGAGTGAGTTTTTAATAACCTGCGAGAGAAACCAAATATCTAATAAAAACCTTTACTAAAACATATTTAATTCTTGGATATATGTTTGCTAACTGTGTGAAAAAACCAAACCACCGTTATTTATGTCCAAACCCTTAAAAGCCAGCTTCATTTTTTTCTCATTACCTTTAATGTACTGCAAAATCCAAGGTGCAGCAGATAATGTATGTTAATACCAACAGATTTTAAAATTATCTATAAGAGAAAAAATTATATTAGGGACACAGATCCAGACAAGGTAGATTTCAAATTATAATGGTTAAACATCTGTACATTTATCTCATGTAAATTAGATATTCTACCATAGATTACCAGTACCTTACTTTTAATTTTCAACACTAAAAACATAAAATCTTTGAGAATTAGAACTTTTAAAATTTTAGCAATTGACTAGTCTTCTACTCAACAGTCATTCACTCAATAAATATGTAAGGAACTATTCTAAATGCTTGAGAAACAGAAATGAATCAGCTGTAGTCCCTGACCTCAAGAAGCTTACAGGCTAACGGAGAAGACACCAAAGCCACTATGATAGAAAATGTAAGTGTTCAAGGTTCAGTGGGGAATAAAGACGTGAGTGCTTTGAAGGAGAAATGGGTATTAGGGAAATCTTCATAGAAGTGACTCGAGTAGACTTTTTAAAAAATGAATAGCAAAAGTGGATAGCCAAGAAACAAGGGGGTGAGGGATGTGGCAGAGACCACTAGCTGTCCATGAAAATTCCTTCTCACCTTCTTTGGGCACACAACTAGATTGCATTTCCCAGAGGTCCTTGCAGTTAGTTAAGCATGATCGTGTGACCAAGATCTCTCCAACGAAATATGAGTTAATGTTTACCACTTCTAGGCTTAGCTAATTAAACCCTCTCACATCTATTCTTTCACGCTCATTCCGCTTTCACTGGCTGAATGCAGAGGATGATGGGCCCCTTGAAGATGGTACAGCCACAAAAGGGAAGGAACCTGGATCCCTGAATACCTGCAAGGTGGAGAACTGCCCCACCAACCTCTACTCTACACCTACCAGGAAAGGAAGAGTCTTCTGTACCGTGCAAAGAGGCCCAGACTTTCCCCACTGACATTGCCCATCCCTTGAAGAATTTTGAGGACGGTCATGAAGGAATCAGATGTGCCTTTTAGAGGTGTCATATGGTGGCAATGTGGAGGAGGAATGGTACGAGGAAAGGGCCAGAAGACTGGTTATAAGACTATTACAGTAACTCAGGTGACAGGTGGTAGAGGCCTGAGCTTACCAGAAGCCATGGGTGTAGAGAGGAAGGAAATCGATTATGAGATATATTAAGAAATTACACAGGACCTTATGATTACCTGGATATGGGGGTGAAGAAAAAGGAGGAATCTAGGATGAGGTGGCGGTTGAACACCTAACCAAGACTATGAGCATAGAGAGAGGTGGAGAGACTCAGAACTGGGGATCACTGTCACTTCATGTGTCACCAACCCTAAGATGATAGTCGGAGCCTTGAAAAGTAATCTTAGAACTCACCACATCTGAAGGATGAGCGAAAAAGGGTCAGGAAGGGCATCTGAAAAGCAGCAGTCAGAGAGCTGAGAGAGTGTGCCAGGGGAGGAGACATGGGAGTCGGCGTCTGTGTTCCATGCTACAGAAAGGTCAAACAAATAACTAGAAAGAGCCCACTGGGTGCAGCAATGCAGAAGTCTTTAGTGAGTTTTCACAGAGGGAAGAATGGAGGCAGAGCCTCACAACAGATGATGAGAGAGTGAGAGAAGTCAAGACAGAAAGCACAGACTGAGCTCGGTCAAAAACCTTGACTGCACAGAGAGGGTGAAAGGACAATATCTAGATGGGGGCCAGGGCCGTGGGAGGGCCATCGTCGTAAGAGAGGAAGAGTTTGAAAATACTGAACAAAGAAAGAGAATAACAGAAGTCATTTTAAAGGAGATGAGAAGACATGAGGCAGACAATCGAAATAGAAGAACCAACTTTGAAAAGGTGAAAAAAGGCCTTACTCCCTGAGATTGGAGGAAAGAAATGGGTATAGGTATAAATAAAGATAAGATTATAGTTGATGTATTAAATTTATTGAGACTGACTGCTTTAAGCTCCGAATACAATTTTAAGCATTTTTCACTATTTGCTGATTAATTATCATAACAATTCTAAGAGATAGGCACTATTATTATCCTCATTTTACAGCGGAGGAAATAGGAGAGGTCCAGAAGTCTGAAGGAGTTCATGTCGGTCCACTTCTATTTACTAGTGAAGGGAAGGGCATGTTCAGCAGCTGGAGGAGAGGAGCAAGGGACAGCAGGAGCTTGCGTCGGCTGTCAGGGTCTCTCAACCTCTACACTACTGACATTTGGGACCAGATAATTCTTTGTCGTTTGGTGCACTGTAGGGTGTTTAGCAGCATCCTCAGCCTTCATTTACTAGTGTCACACACACACACACACACACACACACACACACGCAATCCCCCACTGTCACAACCATCAAAAATGTAAAAAAATGACAAATATCCCTGAGGGGCAAATCAGCCCAGGTTGAGAACCACTGGGATAATGGACGGAAGGTGGAGCTGATGCTGGGCAGTCTGATGAAGCAGAGAGCCAGCTCTTTATTAAGAAGAGAAATGGAATAATAAGATTCTGGGACTACATTCAGAAAGAGAGCATAATATCATCAGTTTGTTTTGTGATTCTGTGTAGCGTAAAGTGAATACAGGAAAAAAGCGTCGGACACACAGAAATCAATATACATTGTATATAATTAAGACTGGCATTTGTGGTTGGGTAGGCCTCAGGGAACAAATCATCAATTTCCATAACAAAAATAGGGTATAGTTCTCTCCAAGGCATGTGGTTATCCCCCCATTCTTCGGGCATGCATTCCATAAATCCTAAGAACTATGGACCTAGCACTAAATGGTTATGCTTTTCTGGACTCAGTGTTCTGTGGCCTTACATCCATCATTCAATTCAAGCCCACCAGATGGAAACTTATGAAAGGTTATTTTCTCATAGCGAATTTAATTCAATCTCCTCACAAGAAAAAGGCTTCTACAAGACCTGATATCCGCCTCCCCTTTTCAAACACATGTGCACACACGCTCCCATGCTGCTGCTGGGCCCCATCATCTCTTAGAGAAGCTTAAAGTAAAACAAAGACCTTTTTGTTTTTTACTCTAGTGGGTCAGCCGGTTAAGTGTACAACTGCGGAAGTGAGGATCCTCTGAAAATACAGCAGTGAGTATTAATATCATCTGTTAAGCTTCATGATAATTCGGCACTACTGCGTTAGGCATGTTAGCATGTATAAACACTCTCAGACTGTGATATTAAACTGAAAAGATGTGGCAGCAGCGGGTGCACACACAAGAACACCTAGAGGCGGGAGCATTCTGGAGCGAGCTTCGGTTCAGGCCCCATTTCCCAAGCTGTGGGATGCCCTTGGTGAGAGCTCTGGACGAGCCAAGGCCAGCCATCAGGGCAGGCGCTGTGTCCAAGAGCTAACGAATGTGGACACAGGCCACAGGCCATTGGCTCACTGGGGTTAGTTCCTTAAGGTTGCAATAGTGCAGGCAGGCCTTTTTTCGTGTTCTGCGAGGACTTGGCCCCACTAAACCAAGATGGCATAGTCTTCAATATGTTTCACCACAGCAGTTCACTGATGGGACTCAAACATGTGGAAACTGTTCCAACATGGGGTGATTTTGAGTGAAGCGGCTCACACGGAAAGAATGTCTGTTTCCCTGGGGAGCTTGGGAAAGGCCGAGGGGGTCGTCGCCGCCCTCACTCTCATCCCCGTCTCATTCTGAGTGAGCCCAGCCCTGCACTGTCCCTGGGGCCTGAAAGCCCCACGGCCCACCTCCTCGTCCTGGCCCAGAGGGATGGCCATAGCTTCCAGTTCTTTCTGCAGTTCGATGATGTCAGCCATCCCGTCCCAGCTCCTGGAAGAGCTCTTCAAAAGGTCTGTCGGGACAGCATTCCTGGCCAGCCATGGTGGGCAGCGGGAAACCCTATAACCCGCGCCGCACGGTCATCGAGAGCCAAGGCACCTGAGAAGTGGGGAGCCCCGGGAGGCGTGGCGGCCGCCCCCAGCGTAGCAACTGCCCCTGGAATGCGGGATCGAAAGCTTCAGGATTTGGAGCCAGCGCGTGACGAGGGTGTCGTCCGCCCCGCACCCCGGTCCAGCAACAACCCGGGCTCTGGATTTATTCCTGCCGGTTAACTGCTTGGATCACTTTTTTTTTTTTTTAGGTTGTTTGGCTGGTGATTCCCAGACAGCACAGTCTTAATTCGAACTGCAAACTGGCCGGGGGCAGTCCCACGGTTATTCAGGGGCAATTTTTTTCAGTTTTGTGCTCTGAACCAAAGTTGACGCGAATCCGCCGCGGCGGCCGTCTTGGGCCAGTCCTCTCCTCCTCTGATGAGGCCAAGGCTTCAGCTCCCGTTCCGTCCACACCCTTGGCCAGAACGACCAAACAGCAGCACCCACTGTGCTAGGAAATAATTCATCCTAGTCTGATCTTCCAAAGGCTCTGCACCTATTTGTCCCACTTAGCACACACAGCTTACACGAGATGGAGCAGTAAAACAGAATGAACCAGGGTCCTGATGACCTCGGAACCTGCCTTCACGTCAGCTTCTGGAATACGTTTATGTGAAACAGAAATAAGCTCAGACCATAAGCCAACATTCTGGCCCTTGGCCCCACCTGCCCCTTGCCGGGGCCAGCACCCCCCCCCGCCCCCACACACACACACAGATCCTAATTCTAAACAAGCATCCTCAATTAATAATGCACAACTGATTTATATCCAGGTGTGGATGAAGCACCCATCATTGACATGCTTATTAAGAGAAACAATACACAGTGTCAATAGGTCAAAGCAGCATATCTCCAGGAAAAAGGAGAGCCCTGGATGAAGCTCTGAAGAAAACCCTTGGAGGTCATCATCCGGAGGAAGTTGCTTTGGCTCTGTTAAAACTCCAGCCCAGCTGGATGCCGATGGACTCTGCTGCCGTGAAGAGCCTTAGAACTGATGAAGATGCTCTGAATGAAATTTTGGCATCAAGAACTTACAGAGAAATCAGAGAAACTAACAGTTTATAGAGAAGAATCAAAGAGCAATCTGGCTAAAGACATCACCTCAGACACATCTGGAGATTATCAGAAGGCTTCGCTTTTTTTGTTAAGAACGACCGATTCTGAGGACGTTGGCGTAAGTGAGGACTTAGCTGATTCAGATGCCA